TTGGGTGCTCCTCTGCTTGGGTAGGTGGGGTCACCAGGGAGACAGATGAGTTTTTAGGCCCTAGATAAGGTGCTGGGGTGCTTGGAAGCTCCTGAGTAGAATGGGTGCCACTGGATAGGGCTTCTGGTGCTGCAGGCAGGACCTTAAGCCCCTGGGAGATGTGCTCAGTGACTACTTAGTTGATGTAGGGGACCCTGGGGGGATTGCTGGGTACACAGTTTGGGGTCCCAGGAGAGGTGCTAGGGCAATTGGCAGTTCTGCCCCTGGAGTGAATGGGTTTGCTGGGGAAATAGATGGGACTATGGAACCATGGGAGAAGCACTGGGACACTCTGCAGCTTCTCAGATTTAGTGGGTGACTCTGGAAAGGATCACTGGGGCTGGGTCAGGACCTCAGACTCCTGAGAGAGACACTGGGGTGTTCTGAAGCACCTAAGCTGGAGTGGGTGACTTTGGGCAGGTTCACTGGAACCATGAGTGGGACTTCGTGCTCCCAGGAGAGGTGTGTGTGTGCTCCATTAAAGACAGCAGGGCTGCTGGCAGTGGCAGAAGGCCCTAGTCAGTTGGTTCTCAGGCTCTGGAAAGTGTGTGCATTGGCTCCCTTTGGAGGGTGGGCTCCCCACTGTGCTGGATTGCCAGTTCCCTGGAGTTTGGATGCCAGAGTCATGCTGTAGTGGGACATTGAGGGGGCCTTAGGGATGTGGAGATGCTGGGGCTATTGGGCCATGGGGCAGAATGTGCTATGGTGTTGGCCCCGATCCCAATGTGGTGACGTGCTGTGGCAGCCTGGGTCCCAGGGAATGGAAGGGCTCAGTGTGAAGTTCCTCTCTGAATAAGGCAGTTGCGTGGGCTCCAAGCAGCTTTCTATATTGGGTTCTGCAAGGTCTGTGTGGCTCTCTTGTAACCGGGATTGCAGGTGTCTGTGGTGGGAGTGTACATTGGTGGAGATTTCCTGCTTACCTTTTCCCCCACAGTGAGGAGCCTCTCCTGGCTCCAAGCTGATCCCGGTCAGGTGTTTCACTCCTCGTTCTGTGCTGCGATCTTGAGTTTCTGAGCCTCAGGGAGTCTTCTTCACTACTTTGCTGAGTTCTGGTGTTCTCTCCTAGACAGTCCATTCACTGTGTGATTGTCTGTTGTTTTGGACTTTCTTTGTGGCAGAGGCAAGAGCTGGGTGCCTCTCGTCAGCCCAGATGGCAACTTTGATGTTTTTGGGAAAACACAACAAAACAAAACAAGTTACCAAAGGACATTTCAGATGACCAAGCTAAACTCTGCTTGAAAGTAATAAAACTTCCATTATTCATTGGATAATGCATATTTTATTTTACACTGTTATTCGGTAAGACTGTAATTTTTAATTTATATAATCTTATGTAACAAAATTATTCAAGCAGCCATACTTTGATTTTTCTTGATCTTATAAGATGTATCTCATAATACATTAGG